CAAAAAACTGAAACCGCTCGACCTTCGTAAGCGACATCGCTTCGCTCTATGAGTTCTTGAAATGTTGCAAGAAGATCCAACGTTTTCGAGCTAAATTTTGTTCAGCGCTGAGGCCCATTTCTGGTTCAATGGATATGTAAGTAAGCAAAATTGCCGCATTTGAGAGGAAGAGCAACCTGAAGAGATACCAGAGCCGCCATTTCATCCAGAAAAAAGAGGTTTGCTGTGGTTTGTGGACCGGTGGAATCATCGATCCATATTTATTCAAAAAATATGCCGGTGCGAACGTAACCACCGATGGCGACCGTTATCGCGCCATTGTAACCGACTATTTGATGCCTGAAGTTGGAGCTCGTGATCTCGACGATATTTGTTTTCAACAAGATGACGCCACCTCCCACACATCACATCAATCAATGTATTTATTGAGAGAACACTTCGTTGAGCAGATCATTTCACGTTTTTGCCCGGTCGTTTGGCCACCAAGATCCTGTGGTATCACACCGTTGGACTTCTTTCCCTGAATATGTAAAGTTAAAGCATCACGCGTGTCATTCGCCAGTTACAAGTCGAAATGCTAGGACGGGTCATCGAAAATTGGAATCGACCAATGGACCATCTGAGACGTAGCCGAGACCAATATTTGAAAGAGATAATCTTCAAAAAGTAAATGCCAAAGCATGCTCTTTCGAATGATAACAAACGTTCACCATTAAATTTGAAATTTATGTATTTTTTTTTTTAAACTAGGGAACCTCAAAATGGATCACCCRATACAACTGAACTGTCAAATTGCGGAAAACACCTTTCGCCGGCGCGGTGAGCCCATAAATTTCGCACAGCCAACTGAGCCAGCCGGTGAGCTATTTTTGGTATTATTTTTTTTTTTTGTTTTTGTTTTTTATTTTCATTTTTGTTTACAATTTCACACAAATCAACGCAGTATCCAAAGGAACGCCGAAAATTGGCGGATCAAAGCGAAGGTGCGAAAAACGGAAATAAACACAAATTGAAGAAAATTTGCCGACAGGCATCCCGAAAAGTGCCGCGCGTCATAAATTTTAGCGCGAATTGGCAGCATGGAATGTAAATTTAATTACAACAAATAAACCAAATAAACAAGTTATCAAATCGCTTAGCCCAAACGCACAGCGAAATTATAATAAAATCAGAGAAATGAAAACGCAATAAAAGTAAACAACGCAAGCATTAAATAAAACTGAATAACAATAAGTTCAAATAAATTAAAGTGCAAAAGAAACGGAGCAATTTAATTTGCACTGACTCAGCCAGTCAATGTGGCAACTACTGCGCGCGAGACGTTGCGAGCAGCTGACACACGTTCAGTTTGTAAACAGAGGCAGGCGGTGTAATAAATTTGCGAAACTTGAAAGCACGATTGTAGAATTTTAATTAGCAAATGRAGTGTAAACAATGCCTAGCGACTTGAATGTCGAATGTCGAATCAAATGGCATGAGCAAAACTTGAAGCAATAAGAAGAAGAGAGGAAATTGATTATAGCGCGGCTAMATTTGGCAGATGATGCGCGCAGCCATAAATTTAAATGTTAATTAAGCGAAAATCGAAAATATATAAATTTTATTTATACTAATTTCCGCCAGCAACACCAACAACAGCCATAGCAAACAAAGTTCAAAGCCTCAAAAGTCATTAGCAATAGCATMCGCAGCATTAAAAGCTTTGATTTGCCAGCAGCGACAACACATTGACGACCGTTGGCGTGTGGGCTACTGTGAAGACATTAAACAAGCAGGCGCGGCACACCCGCGGCCAAAACTAATGGACGCTAGATTTGATTAGACAACTGATGCTGGTGATTTTTGCRCCGCGATTTAAGAATTGGYATGCGCGTGCGCAGCGGAAATTAAAATGAGTTGAAGAGATGTTTATCGATTTGCATGTGAAAAWTAATTTTGGTGGTTCTTGATTAGTAAGATGTAATACGGATGCGACAACRCATGGTTCAAAACAAAATTGTCCAAATAGATCGGGGAAACTATGGAGRAAAGACAGGAGCATAATCTTGTAGGACCCAAAGTGGTGATCTAGTGGCTGATGTTCAGAGCATACTGAAAATATGGAGGGTACACGTCTTCAGCTTGYTGAATGGCAGTGGAAGCATAACASSAGTAGSTGGTGAATCCGATTTCCCAAACRATGACGATGGAACGGTGMTGCCATTACCCGACCATGAAGAATTTCGAATAGCAATTACCCGTCTGAAGAACAACAAAGCAGCGCGGGTCGATGGGTTGCCGGCCGARCTATTCAAATACGGCGGCGAAAAACTGATAASGATCATGCATCAGCTTTTGTGTACAATATGGTCGGACGAAAGCATGCCCGACGATTGGTATTTAAGTGTGCTGTGACCAATTAACAAAAATAGAGATCCCACAAACTTCGTCGATTTCAAAGCTACTTTTAAGAGYACGTAAAGAGGCTGCCTTTATGTCGCTATGTCTGAATTTGGTATTCCCGCAAAACTTATACGGTTGTGTAAACTGACGTTGAGCAATACCAAAAGGTCCGTCAGGTTCGGGAAAGAGCACTCCGAGCCGTTCGATATCACACGTGGTTTCAGATAAGGCGAATCTCCATCGCGCGACTTTTTCAATCAACTCTTGGAGAAAATAATTCGAGCTGCAGAGCATAAATAGTGAAAGTATTTCAATTGCTCGAAGTTGGTTCTCAGACGACGCTTCCGGAATACTGGTGCATATTTTAGGCGGAAGCCTTTGTGATCAGGAAAGTGGCTAAGATAACTAAGAACGCTAAGGTTATGGTAGCCGAGATGTTTTGTTCGCAGCTGAATYTCAGGCGTTCCTTCAAGCTTTCGGCATACTGCAGTATTTTCTAGGCGGAAGTTTTTGCGGCCAGCAAAGCGGCTGAGATAGCTGACAACGCTAACAGTGTCGGAGCTGGATGTCAGGCGTTCCTTCAAGCTCCTAACATACTGCAGTTTCTTTCAGGCGGAAGTCTTTGTGGCTGAGAAACCTAACAAAGCAGGAAAGGTCGATAGCCAGGCGGCAATCTCAAAATCAGTAGTGGCTGCATATATACTTGATCCSGCAAAAAAATTCCGTCCACCGAAATAGCTGTTGAACCAGCACAGAAAATATGGRAGTCACTAAAGGCGATATATAATAAAATTGCCTAAAGGACTGTCAGAGTACCGAAGAAGAATACGTATGCTCTTTAAACACATGGTCTCGAAAGGACTGCAGAACGTTTGCTTCCCTAATAACTGGTTACTGGTAACACTTGCGAATCGGTTGTGGATAAGTAATGACGTTACTTTCAGACAAAGCAGGGAATTAGGCATGAGAGAGACTTTGGAGCACCATCTATGCTTCTGTCTAGCATTAACTAGAACTCGTCTAAGATATCTAACAGCTTCGTGGTTCAACGGACTAGGTGTAGTATCAAAATTGTAAAACTTTTCGCTAAAGTTCGCAAAAAGCGTTACCGTCCTGTATGAGAAACGCTTCAGCTCGTAAAAACTGAACCGCCATCTGACATTACTAACAACAAGTAGGTCTATGTATGGCGTGACAGTTGGTTAGTACAATCTAACCTAACTCAAATTATTCAACAAGTTAAATCAAGCTTTAGACGCATCATTGAGGCTTACAAGATGCTAAGTAAAATTAGCACTTTAAATGGTTAATAAAAATTCATTAAGTAAAACAGTTAAACTAGTTACATTAAGTAATAAAGCGYCATAAAATCAAAGCTTAAAATTTGTCAACTGCCGCGGGTGTTTATGCTATGGTTTTTATGRCCCAACTAAGATCTAAAACCGGTTTGTAGGCATAAACTATATTTAGTTTTCACAAAATTTTATGTAAAACGCAACAAAGTACGACTTTTATAGGCTTCGATTTTAACGTTCGCATATGATTTAAATTTTACGACTTTTCTGAATGAGTTTCGCTCAACTAATGTTGGGGGGTTCTACTATTTATAAATATTGTTTGTCAAAAAAGTCTTGCGGTATTTTCGCTAGTTGGCGCTTAGAGCGCGTAGTGCTAGTTYTATTCGTCGCATCGRGTCATGCTGTACCTTTTTGGAAAGCTCATTCCACTCGCTAACACGTGTTTGATTGATTGTCGTTTCTTYTAAGTCATTCGTGAGTTATAGCGTCRCAAACATGAAGCAAAAGGCAAAAATGCATCTCAAGCCGCCAATAAAATTTATGCAGTTTATGGACCCGATGCAGTTTCCATTTCCACCGCACAACGACGGTTTCAACGTTTTTTTTTCTGGTGTAGAGATGGTCGAATATGTGCCACGCTCCGGAAGGCCTATCGTCGAAAATTGCAATAAAATCGCTGAATTGGGCGAAAGAGACCGGCATAGTAGCAGCCGTAGCATCGGTCAAGAGCTGGGCATGAGTCATCAAAATAAATTTTATGCACAATTGAAAATTGAAAAAATTCAATTAAAATACCGCAAGACTTTTTTGACAACCTATTATAAATGATGTCACTTAAAATGCAAAATAACATAGCATCACTTTTCATAAGTTTAGCGGCGAAGGATAAATGATACAACATTTGAAACAAAAATTGAGTTTTGATTMTAATTGGTTATTAAATCGGTTATCTATAGGTTATATATACGTTATATATTAGTTATATCTGACAACGGGAGGTTAAAATTTTAGTAAGCAATAAAAAAATACTTTTTTGATGATTGGTAGTTTTTCATTCCAGGTGACAATATATCCCTATATCTATATGTGTATGTTCATAGAAAAAATTATTTCTGTTCGAAGCAGTGGCACAATTAGTATTGAGATTTTCGAGGGGCTCTGCTTCTACATATTTCTTTTATATAGAAACTACTTCGTAAATTCTGCTGAATCAGACTTAAAACCTCTGATTTTGTTTGGGAAAGGGTTTAACATCACCCTTCCTCTTGGAAACGCCACTGCTTTCAGTCATACTTTAATCGCACAGTTCATTCAACTCACCTGAAAATTCATAATCGCTTCAGAGATTTTGATATTAATCGGCTCGACAACCATGACAATATTGAATGAGCCCAGCAAACGTTCGGCAACCTTGTCCATGGCRACGGCGAAATTCTCCCACTCCGTGTCGAATTCGTGCACAAAGTGCAGACAACCCTTAATCACATTGACGCAGTAATTTGTGCACGGTTTTTCCGCATAGCCCTTGCATGCGCCACAGTGTTGCATTTTCGTGAGTGCGGCCGTGCAGTCAGCGTTCAGACGTACCTGAATGAAGCGGAAGAAAAATGTAAGTAATTTTTTGGTTTTTTTGAAAGATAATATTCGAAACGTATAACAGAATAATTTTTTTTTTTTTGTCGTTACTCACATTCATCATCTTCTTCGACACTTCGGCGGCTGTATGCAGCGCCTGCCAATAGGTGCGCGTCGCCACAAAGGAACGTTTGATTTGTACAGCCAGTTTGTCGGGCACATCGCCAAATGGTTTCAGTTCTTTCATATGTTCGCTGACGCATTTTAGGAATCTGAAACATAGGAAAAATATATATTAATTATATTTAATATAATAATAATCAGAAGAACATGAATAAGAAGAAGAGTATTAATATTAATAATAATAATCTATCGAAGTAGTCTAGGAAAAGCTCAACAAAAACAAATTTCTTAAGATTTGATTCATATTCGAGCCCAAAACATCTTTCTGGAACATGCATTTTGTGCATCCGCTGGTAGAACCCACAATATTTTTAAGTGTCGCAATGCAGAGCCTTCGTCCAGATTACTTTCTCAGTACCACTTAAGTTTTTGTTGTTGTAGCGGCAGAATTCTGCTCATTTGACAGTCCTTTGACGGATCAAACTACGGGTAAGTTCCGTTTACTTAAACCCGACTGTCGACTCTTCTTCCATGAGCCATCGTCAGGAACACTTTCTAAATACTATTATTGGAGCTCGCCTAACCTAATCCTATAGACTTTCTTGGGTGTCGAGAGTTATGTGACTATTCGAGTTTTCTAAAAACGGACCTATGGTTGTTTCCAAGGCGTCCAGCGTCTTTTATACGTTGATTTGAACTCAAAAATTTTCATATCCATATTTCATAGCTATACAAAGAGTCTGCTAGCCATAAGAAACTCTACTTTCATGAGAATATGTCTAGATCATTTTCTAAAAACCATTATTGGAGCTCGCTAAACCTGAAGCAGTAGTCTTTCTTAKGCGCTCTAGCCCTTCATAGAGTGATTTCTATTCAGAAATGTTTAAATATAAATTTCATGGCTATTCATCGTGTTTTCTAGTTTCACTTTTTCTAAGAACCTTCATCTAGACTACTTGCAAGACAGCACTTTTTCCACAAATTAGGTTAGGGGATTATTGGAGCTTACGCAAGTCCAAGCTATAGCCGTTTCTCAGGAATGAAACGTCTTTTAAAAGATGACTTCACTTGAAAATACACTATCTGAATACCATGTTTTAAATATTTTAGGTTATGTGAGCATTCGAGCTTGCTAAAACCGATGCTATAGTCGTCTCTTAAGCGTACAGAGTCTTTAATAAGATCGTTTGACTTAAAAAAATTACATTTTGAATATCATGTTTTCCACATTTTAGGTTATGTGAGTAATCAAGTCTGCTAAAACTGAAGCTTTAGTCATGGCATGGTAATCTAGAGAACTTTATAAGATATTTTCACTTAAAAAAATAATTCCTAAATACCACATTCTTCATATTTTAGGTTTTGTGCGAACTCGAGCTTGCTAACACTGGACCTATAATCCTTCCYTAGACCCCCAGAATCTTTAACCAGCTGATTTCTTTCAAACATTTATTTAAATTTAAAGTTTATGCTTATGCACCGCGTCYTATAGCACTTTAGATCCAGCAGCATACACTTTAGTTCAAGGATAACAAAGGAAGAGCGAAAGCAGCAATGAAAACAGCGAAAGATACTCAAGTGCTTCACGTTGTACTTAACCCTTCGGAGAAGCAAAAACAACAATAAAATAATTATGTAAAGTAAACAAAAGTTAAATTTTAAATCAAAAGCGGGCGCAATAAAGCGCTGATTGTTGGAACTTTAAGTGAAAACAAAAAAGTAAATAAAGATGAACAGAGTTGCTGACGTTAGTGTGAGTTAGACGCGCTGTATCTATGATTTTGAGTATGTATTTTTGCTTGTCAGTATGTATATTAAGGGCCATCATATTGAATAATATCTAGGAGGTGTGAAAAAGTGCAAGATGCTAACTATGTATGATCGTGTGTGGGTGTATGTGTCTATGCAAAATGCTTGCGGCACTTGTAGGGCTGCACTGTACTTCATTATTCTTGTTGTTGTTGATTTTATTACTATTGCAGTTACCATATTTTCAACGCCGCCCCCAAAGCTATAAAACTTTGCTGCGAGTATTTAGAGAGTGGCAGAGATCGAGGAGGAGGAGAGCTGTGTTGGCACAATACAGGCGGTTTTTATAGCAGTTGTACACTGCATATGTTTGTCTATATAGCTGTGTGTGTGCGCTTGCATACGCTGTGTGCTTAAGATCATTTGAACGCGGCTTGTTGGCCCAGTCACCGCGCTTCCGGCCATTTTTCGCTTTTATTTGCTTATGAATGAGGTGTGCTTGGTTACACTTTGTTTTTTGCGTGTGTGTACATGTGTGTGTGTATTCGCAACTAAACGAGCATGCATATATGTTAGTGTAAACAATTGTGTGTTATTGCATGTTTCTGGATGAGTTTCTATGGGCCGACGTGTCAATGCGCCTTTTAACAAATTCGTTGTAAATGACTTTTTGCTATTTTGCCGCAGCCTTTCTATATCTTTCACTACTAGTGGACATTTGAATACCTGCCAGAGTGGTGAAATTTAAGCAGTTGAACGAATACATATATAGATATATAAATTCGTACACACATGATAACATTAATGCGGCATTTATCTATTATGACCTGAACAAGGTCTGTTGACAGACAATATCGATATCTGTCAATTAGCTACACAGTTTTTGAGATATCAATCTGATTTTATGCACAAGGAATTGTCGATATCAGACCACTATAGCATATAGCTGCCATACAAACTGACCAATAAATATTTAGTTCTTGTATGGACAACTCTTTTATTTAACGAGATATCTTCATGAAAATTGTTATAGACAATTGATGAAGGTAAAGCCAAGATCTCCGAAGAAATTTTTCAGATCGACTAACTATAGCATACAGCTGCCATATAAACTAACAAATAAAATTCAGCTCTTTTAAGGAAAAATGTTTTAATAAAAAAATATCTTCACGAAATTTTGGCATGGATTATTAGCAAAGACAGTGTTACAATAKCCGAAGAAATTTTTCAGATCGGTCAAMGATAACATATAGCTGCCATACAAACTGACCAATAARAACTATGTTCTTGCATGGAAAACTCTTTTATTTTACTAGATAAATTCACGAAATTCGACAGAGGTTATTAATGAAGGCAACGCTATAATATGTGAAGA